CCTAACCTTGAACCCAGCAAAGTGGTGGGGTGGCCACAGAATTTTTCTGTGAACCCCAAGGTGGTTCCTTAAGGTTAATGCAGGTTCTGTGTGGGGTCTGCCATGGGACGGCCTTGCAGAGTTTGGAAGCCCTTACCACCGGGTCAAGCAGGATGGTCATTGCCATCTGATCGGCTCACAGGGATGCCAGACCAGAGATGGGATGTGAGATGGAAGGACAGAAAATGGATCCAAAGCCAGACACGTCGCCACCAGCTCTTAGAGGCCTTGACATGGGTAAAGGCAAGTGAGTTTGTTCAGTCATTTATTCAACAAATCCCGACTGAGCTGGAATGATGTGCCAAACACTGTTCTAGGTTTGGAGGAGATAAAGTCCCTGCCCTTGTGGGGAGTAAAGACACAAAAAAGATATTACTAAAGTAGATGATGGTAATCAATACTGTGAAGAAAATAAACAGATTGATGGAGTAAGGTGGGGGAAGGACACTTTTAAATAACAGGCAGGAAAGGCTACTTTCCGACTGTGACACTGGAACTGAGACCTGAACGATAAGGTGAGATTGCAAGGAGAAGCATTCCATAGGAAGTGCAAAGGCCTTGGGGCCGTAATGAACTTAGCATTTCAAGTAGATAAAAGGACAACATGGCTGGAAGAGGGAGGAGATGGGGCCAATTTGTATAGTGCTCTGGGCATCATAAAGGAGTTTAGATTTTATCCTGTGCATAATGAGAATCCACAGGAGGAGTTTCAGTAGGAGAATGGTTTGATCTGAGTTCTGAGAATGTCCCAGCTCTGCAGGCATGCAGTTTTCTAGAATAAATAAGAACAAACAGATCTTGTTTTCTTGAAGTGGAGGGGCATGGTGGGAGGAAACCCTGAATCAGGGACTTTTAACTGTGAGGCAAATCCTCATTGCAGCGAAGTGTTTGATAAAAGCTCTTGGGAGGGAATGGAGATGGGATGACGGTGATGGGGTTGATTTATTCCCCCAAAGTGTTGATCCAGGATTACTGTCAGCCTGGGAGGAGAGTCTCTGGTAGTGTCCCTGAGGCTCTGCCCCAGACTCTCTCCTGTTCAACATTTCTATTTGTAAATTGGCAAAAGACTCAGAAGATGTGCTCATCAGACATGCAGCTGACATGGAGCTGTCAGTGACAGCTAATGCCACAGATGACAGGCTCAAGATTCACTGTGATGATCCTCCACAGGCTGGAGTGATTGGGATGAAACCGACAATATTCCTGATTGCATTCAGATTGGAGAACAAAGCCTGCCCAGGAATCTGGGAGAACTTGCTGGATAAAGATCTCCTGAAAGGAAGCCCAGGCTGGAGGTGGGGAGGAATTAGTGGAGGGAGCTGGACGCAGCCAACTCCCTACATAAGCTTCCTTCCTCTGAGTGACAAGGTCCTTAGCCTTTCAAGGTCATTCTTCCCATCTGTAAAGTGGGGATGATTCTGGCTACTTCCCAGGCATATGGGGAGGATTAAACATGAACACATATGTGGATGCCTGGCTTTCTGTCTGGCCTGTAGTAGGCTCAAGACATATGCGAGGGAAATATGAATTTGTAGAGGCTGGCAAGAGGAAGACAGATATCCTGTGGTAACCTTTCAAGGCCATGTAGCCGGGCTTATAGCTGTGGCAGGCCCCTATATTCTTGGCACACCAGTGCTAGCTTTCCAAGAGCCCCATTGGTTCCTGCGGTATGTCCAAAGGAGAATGGCCTGGAGGGGTCAGGTCTGAAAGCCATATCTCCTGAAAGCCATCATGAGTTCAGACTGGAGAGAAGGAGGTGGTTGCAGGTCGGGGGTGGGGGACATGAATGTTTCCTTAAACACCACAAAGGCTTCAGTGTGGGTAACAGTGGGGCAGATGCTTTTTTCATTGCTCTAGATGCCTGTGAGGAGAAGTTGTGCAGAGGCACATATGGGTGTCTCATAACTAAGATCTAAACATTGATAATTACATTATGATAATTATCCTGTGAGCATTTCTCGAGGGCCCACTACATACGCAGCTTGTGCTAACTGTTTTGCACAACTTATAGAATGCTCACAGTCTAACCTTGACAGATGAGGAATATTAAGGTGTAGAAGGTAGCTCTTGAGAGGCAGAGTAGGAATTCACACTCAGCCCCTGCTAGTTCCTCTGCCAGCCTGGCTTCTGGTTGGGGAGGGCAGGAGTGACCTCCCAGGTGCTGAGAAGGGACCATTGTGGGGAGTTTTTTGGTACAGGAATCTCAGGGCCCTGTGAGGCTTCTAGAAGCTACTCTTGACCATGTGTGTGTAATATTTGTAAAAATAAACCAGAAAGCAAACACAGACAAATAGAATGATCAGTGTATGATGACCCTCTGTAACCATTACCTGGCTTTAGCAATGATCAACACATGGCCAATCTTGTTTCCTCTATTACTTCCTCTCTCTTCTTTCCCTCCTCCTGCTGGATTAATTTTAAAGGCAGTCCCAGGCATCATTTTCTCTGTAAATAGGATGTACCTCTAAGAGATAAGGACTCTTTGTTGTTGTTAAGTATAACCACAATAACATTATCACAATTTTTAAAAATTAACATAATTGTACTGTGTCTTTCTAATTCAGTGAAGTGACTGGTGTATGGCTTGCTTTGCAAAGTATTTGGGGAGGGGAGGCAAAACCTAGTCCTTCAAATGTCTGATTCCTATGACTTGAGACTCACCTGTTCCTTTTGAGGTGGATGGTGAAGAAGAAGAAGAGGAGGGGGCTCTAAAACTTTAGACCGTGGATTGGCAGCCCCTTCATTCTGATTGTTCTCAGGGGACACAGCCGGGAAAGTGAGGCCTATTTATAGGCCTAAGTCTAGACATGGGAAGGAGGCAAAGGAAGGGAAGAGGTGACAAGCTAGGGAAAGGGGACAAAAGAGAGAATGTAGGGAAGGAGAAAATAATAGAAAGTGACCTTGCTGCGCACACAGATCCAATGGCCCTCCAGGAGCCGGCCAGGACCAGCCCACACTAGCTAATGCTCACAGCTGACATTGACTGAATATTTCCTGTGCACGGGGCACTGTGCTGAGCTCACATACCAGTGACCTCACCCAACGCTCTCAACCATCCCATGAGGCAGTGATGTTACTTGTCATACCCATTTTACAGGGGAGGACCCTGGGGTTCCAGGGTCTGACATGAGAAGAGCAGTGATGCCTGGATTCAAACCCAGGTCTGTTTGGCTGGAGTTTGCTTTTTGCAGGCATTACTCTCTGCCTCCAAGCACAGTGAGGTTCCATGTGGGGCTAATGTTCACAAAATATGCTGTCTTGGCTGCTGGACTATTGGTACATTCCCATGTCTTTAGTACTTAGCTCTTCCCCAAGCTCCCCAAGCACCCTGGGGGCATCAAGTCTTTGCCTCAGAACTCATCAGTACCCAGGGACTAAAAGTTTCCTGTCTGGCACAGCAGGAAGTCACTAGGACTATAGACTGTGTCCATTCTGATTGACTTAAATGCAGTGACTATTCCCCTGGGTCTGTGTATGGTGTGACATGTGAGTTGTGTGCCTGCCTGTTTCTGTTCACGTGTGTGTATGTGCGTGTGAGCATGCATGCACGCGTGTACACAATGAGCATTACCAGGAAGGCATAGACCCTGCTGGAGGCATTCCATGGTCACCCCCTTGGAGTCTCATCGTACCCTCTGAGAGGGTGGCCAGAGCTGGAATGTGTGCTGGGCCTCCAGACTGCAAAGCGTAAACCACAGCAGCTGAGCCCCCCTGTGGGGCTCCTGGATTTTTTCCCTTGGGTCTTCTTCATCATCTTCTCCCTCAGTCCTCCCATGATAGTGGGCTGAGCAGTTTCAAGAATGCTTTCTGTGGGCCACCTCACCCACCTCTCATAGGAGCCCATTGAGTGGGGACAGCAGACGGTTCTAGGCTGGTGGCCCTGGTCCTCTTAGGAGCACTAAGCAGGAAGGTGGCTACTTGCCAAGGATGCTGGTGAGGTGGGCAGGGACACCAGCCAGGCCAATAGGATTGCCATCCTCTCCACACCTGGAGAGAAGTGGCAACCAGGAGCCTAGAAGCTAGGGGATCATCAGGTGCTATCAGGCAGGTGCTGACAAGCAAGGGTGCAGTGGAGGACCCAGGGTCCAAGGTACAGGTTGAGGCCAGTATTTAGACACAGGGAGACATCAGTGAATCAGTGCAGGGACCACCCAACTGCTGGTGCTGCCCATGAAGTGAGGCCCAGTGCAGAGGCTGTGATTGGGTCAGAGGCCATGCCAGAGTGAACACGGGTATCCAAGAGGCTACTCTAGGGGACCCAGGGGCAGGAACCAACCAAGGCTGATGGTGGTGTAGACATGAGAGCTGACCTTTGAATCACCCTTACTCTGTGTCAGACACCATCCAAAGTGCTTTGCACCTCTATGATACTCCTAGTAGTGAGAGAAGGAGACAGAATACCAAGATGCTGAACAACCTGCCCAAGGTCACACAGATGGGAAGTGACTGGGTCAGAGTGTAAGCTCAGGCTCTCCACTCTATCATGCTGCAGTGAGGTAATGGGGGCTGCACTACGCTCCTGGGGGCTCCTCAGGGCTCAGTCCCAGCACCCTGGACTGCACACTTAGAGCTGATGGCTGGTTCCTGGCCCCTTTGGTGCTGGACAAAATTCCCCAGTGAACCTCTTCTCTGGTCTTTCATTGCTTCAGGTCCTGAGCATGAAGAATAGGAGGGATGGACTAGAATTAAGGTTCAGTGAGGCTGTGACTTGCCCTAGCTCACTCAGCAAGGTTGATGGGAGAGGACCCAGGTTTCCCCATCATGCTCTCAGTGTTGCATCCTGCCGGTGTGGTGCAGAGCCCTGTGGGGGTCCACTGTGTGTCCACTGGGTTCTCTTACCAGGAAGTGTGTTTTTGTCATGTTATGCATCCACCTCCCTTTTCTGGGGCCTATGTCCTGCTGCAGAGCCACACCTTCGTGAGCTGGCACTAACACCGTCTGTCTCTCTGACCCATTTGCAGAGCTCTGGAGCTCAGCAGTGACAAAGATGAGATCTCCCTGTTGGTAGAACAGGAGTTCCTGAGCCTCACCAAAGAGCACTCGATCCTGGTCAAAGAGAGCTCTGAAGAGCTGGAGGCACCCGGCAGCTCTCCCGAGGGGACCAGAGAGGTGGCTCCCTGCATTCTTGCCCCTCCTGTAGTGGCAGACGGTAATGAGTGCCCCAGAGCCTCCATCATTGTCGGCGACAAGCTTCCCAAGCAGAAGATGGCCACATCCATTAATGGCAGCAGACAGGACTGTGATTCTGCCATGTCTGCTGTCACAGACATACTGCGTGCCACCAAAGTCAAGAGCCGCAAGGGGACAGATGACAGGGACTGCATCCTAGGTGCCTCCAACTTGGAGGTCAGCAAGCTTCTGGCCCAGTTCCCACTAAAGTCCACTGAGGCATCCAAGGCCCCTGACAACAAGAAGGTGCTGGAGGAGACAAGGGTCATAAAGGACTTCCTACAGAACAACATGTTCAGTGGCCCTGGACTCAGGGAGCCCATGGAGCTGAGCCCATTTCTGCTGCCACCTCCCCCACCTCCTCCTGCACCCCAAGACAAGCTCCCTGAGCTCTTTGCTCAGAAGAGGCAGCTCCCAGTGTTTGCCAAGATCTGCTCCAAGCCAGAGGCTGACCCTGCTGTGGAGAGGCACCACTTGATGGGTGAGTGGGGCTGGAACTGGGGTAGAGTGGGTATGCAACGAAGAGGTCCCTCCCAAGAAGCCATCAGGACTGCAGCATGTACATAAAGCATCTTTGTGCAAAGCAGGACAAAGCAGCCTCTCTGGTGGGCACAGCCCCAAGGGACAAGCTGTTTTCAACCACCTTCTTTTGCTGGGTGCCCCTGTGCAGAGCACAGCTTTTGTGAGCAAACCCAGAGGCCCTGATCTCAACATACTTTGAGAAGAGAAATAAGAGCCATATAGTAACTGGCTTAATTTTGGAATCAAACAGGTATCCAGAGTGCATTGAAGGAAGTGTTTACCCTAGATGGCTTCAGGGCAAAACTGCAGCATGGGGATGCCAAGATGTATAGAGGAGAAATTTGATTGGTAGCTGGGATCACTTGGCATCTGTCTCATGGAGGCACCTGTTCTGGACGTGAGGCCTGGTCCTCCATCTCTGGTGTAGCAGGGTGGATACATAAATTATCCAGGCACAGTGCAGACTGTTGACTCTGGAATCTGTTTCCTGGGACTTACTTTATTGAAGAGGTCACATTCTTCCCAGGAAAGCCAGCCACCACCCAAGATTCTCCTACTTTATGCCCAGAATTCTGTGTGTTGTTCTGATACAACCAGTCATACTATAAGGTTCCAAGAAGGTAGACTGATGGCCATGGCCATTGCCTAGGGTCAGCAGTCACTAGGAGAGTTACCATACTCCTGTTAGCCAAAAGAACAATTCCCTCTGGGCTATGAGCATGGATGGGTAAGCCAGAGATGCCCGTATCGGGAGGGTCCAAATTCATCTCCCTGAGAAAATAAGAGCAAGGTTGTCTAGAATATTCTGTGTCCTGGAGCATTGCAGGAAGGCCAAGGAATCAGAGCCATGGATAGCAAGCTGGACTCTGGGTCCTGGACAGGGCTCTAGGAGCCAGAGGGCTTTAGGATGAGGGGCTGTGGGAGAGAGAGAATTGAGCTCTTCCCAGAGGGGAGAACTTCCTCCTACCTTTTCTCCCAGAGGGACCCATGGATACTTCCCTGTTGGACGTGGCTGCTGGATTGGAAGCATTTCTGTACTACCCACCCTGCCCACCATTGGTGCATGTCTGTGTGTACAAAAGTGTGTGCCAAAAGGAGTTTTGAAGGTTTGAGTGTATTTGTTAGAGAAAACGCAGGAGTGGTGCATTTAAGTATGTCTGTGTACACTTTTGTGCATGTGTCTGTCACGTGTGTAGTTGTGTACGTGTCACTTAGTCAAAAGAACAACAGATAGGAATGTGTATGTATCTGTGTGCCCAGACCTTGTAAGAGGGAGCTTCGTAGATGTTTAAGGTGCCTGTAAATGTGAGTGGGAATCTGCAGGTGCACAGGTCTCTGGGGAAAGGGTTATTATTAGTGAGTACTGTTATTTCAGCTCACTGGCTAGGGTCTGAATTCGGCAACCAGAGAAACTCCTGGAAGAGTCTCCAGGAATTTTTTTTGCTAAAAATGTTGTTTCCTCCTAAATTGGCCCAGGCTAGAGCAACTCTTTCCTTGGCTGGGATGGTGCTAGGAAGACAGGCTTAGCCTCCAAGCTCAGCCCCCAAGCCACTTGACTAGGGGGCCAAAAGCTGGTGGGATCAGGTCTATTATCAACAGATAACACTGAGGCACAGGTCCTTTCTGGCTGCAACTAGAGAGATCCCAGTGACTGCTGTGGGCCAGTGCACCCAGTGGGTGACCAGGTTTCAATTCCCACAAGCTTTTTTTGCTGGGTACAAAAGAAGTGAGGATCTGTGATGGTCCCAAAAGTACCTCTGCATTGGGAGAATAAATGCTCAGTCTCTTCGGAGAGAGACCTGGGTCTGCCACCAATCTTGCCCCTGCTCCACATTCCAGCCATATCCAGTGATTCATGATGATTCTTTGATGCTTTCAGGCTTTTGCCCATAGTTATCCATGTCTGCCATGACTTCCTCCCCAATACCCCTAGATGTAAGGCCTTGCTGAAACCCTACTTCCTTCTGGAAGTAACCTTCTCAGACAGAAGCAGTCTCAGCCACCCTGTTTTCCCATTTCTTCCCTCTGCCACCTCGTGGTGTTCATCTGCCTTGTCCTGGAGCTATTTCTGGGCATGTCTCTCTCTTTTTCCTTGTTATGAACTCCTGCTGGGCACAGTCTGGCTCTGACTCACAACTGTGTCCCCAGCACTCAGGTCAAGGCCTGGCACTGACAAGTGAGCTGAATCACCTGTGAGTAATAAAACAAAAGTAAAATCCAGGATGAGAGACCACAAAGTGTGTGGCTCAGACCACATGTTCTGTAGAAATGTGTGTCTCCCTCACTAAACCATGTGCTCACTGAAGGCAGAAACTGCATCCAAGACATCCTTCTCTCCTCAGCCTGGCACTGTGGATGGTTGGAGAGAAGGAAGGGTGGGAGGAAGGAGGAAGGGTAAGGAAAGAGAGGAAAGAAAAAGCTAATTGGAAGAAAGAAATGATGGAAGGAAGGATGAAGGGGTGGATGGATGCAAGGAAGGTAGAAAGATAAAGATGGGATAGACGGATGGATGGGCAGATGGATGGATAAGTAGATAGAAGGAAGAAAGACAAAGATGATGGACAGATGAGTGGATGAAAGGACAGATGGATGGATGAAGAGATGGATGGATAGATGATGGATTGATGGATGCATGAGACTGGGGGATCAGAATAGGCAGGGGCCAGGGAAGATTTCAGGGAGAGACTGGGATTGTATTTGGCTGAAAGAGAGTCCCCCAGAGTGGCCCAAGCCTCAGGTGTGTATTACAGAGGATTCATCATTTAATCCACAGAATGGTGCTTCCAGCATCCAGCCCTTGGCCTTCTAGAGGCATTAACTCAGTTTCTCTCTTCCTATAGAATGGAGCCCTGGCACCAAGGAGCCAACAAAGGCTCGAGAAAGCCTATTTCTCAGCCAGTGGCCCCAGAGCCAGAAGGACACCTGTGGTGAGGAGGGTTGCTGTGACCCAGTGGGCACCACATCACTTCCCCTGCCTCCCAAGAAACCTGCATGTCCAGCCGAGAAGAACCTACTCTATGAGTTCTTTGGGGCCACCAAGACCCCAAGCGGGCAGCTGAAACTTCGAAACAAAGTGGAAGTGGATGGGCTGGAGCTGAAAGGTAAGCTCACCTACCCAGGGAGGGGCTGCAGGGGAGGGAGTTGCAGCGACCCTCACAGGCTTCAGGTGGCTCTGTCACCAAGTGGCTGTCTCATCTATAGGAAATTCACTGTCTTTCTATAGTTGTCAGTTTTAAAACCTACAAAATGGGAAAAATGACTTTCTCCCTATATCCCTTCTTGGGAATACAGTTGCTAGAGAAATGTGGTTGGCTTTCAAGGGTCATATCAACATTATTAATAGTCACTTCTGAATATAGCCCTGATCCAGCATGTATTATATCCTCTGAAATTGCCCAAGCCAAAACAAAAAATCCTTGCTTTAGATTATTTCTACATTGAGATTATGTTCCTGCTTTCTCTTCCTTGCCCTCCTACAACTGTTCTAGTCATACCTCTTTTTCCAAAAGGATGCCAATAAGGGGGAAACAGAGGACCCATTTCTGAATTTGTAAGACCCCACGAAGTCTTGTAGAAAGGAAGAATCCAGGATTCTTATCTTGAAACAACTCAATCTAACTTCATTCGTTTAGACCAATTTTGAGTCACTGCATGCTGAATTTAATGTTTTGAAATATTTAATGTTTTAAAATATTTTTTTAAATTCCCATATAGATACAACAACCTGTGCAAGTTTCTTAGTGTTGCCAAATATATATCCTTAGGGAGGGGCTGCTTTAATTATTTGATAAGGATGAATTCCAATGGCATAGCAATGGTTCATATAAAGTTGGATTTTTCTAAAGCAGTTGAAAGAATTTCATTTTGTAAGTAGGTGATATATAGCCCTAGCAATCTGGTTTATTGTATTTCCTTGCTAAACTGCCTTCTTTACTAGTGAATGATGGAAAGAAAAGCTCCAAGCCAGACCTACTGTGAATTTCATCCCTTCCAAATTGGCAAGGCATGAACTAATGATGTTTACCTATAGTTGGAAATGTACTAGAACTTTGAAGAACCCTCTTGGAGCTTAAGGAATCTGACCTGTGAGACTGAATCCCCAGGGAAGTTGTGATGCGGAAGGTGTCCTGGCCTCTCCCTGCCTCCATCCCTGATCCACTTTACCTCTCCTGTGACTTGCAGTTAACGCACCTGTGACGGTTGCTGACAAGAACAACCTGAAGCACACAGGGAATGTTTTCACTCCGCACTTTGCTACAGCCTTGACCTCAGCAACCCTGAACCAGCCATTCTGGCTCAACCTGAACTATCCACCTCCACCAGTGTTCACGAACCCCTCCACCTTCCTGCAGTATCAGGTCAGTGAGCGGGCCTGGCTCTCCTGTGGATATCCATGGGTTTTTAGGCCACAGAGGAGGTGTGGCTGGCAGGGGGCCTATTTCACAAAGAGCCTCTAGACTCTGAATGCCTTCCCTACATGAAAGAGGCTTCGCAGGGGCTATGGTAGGGCATTGTCAACTTGTCAGCTTGTCCATTATTTTTTTCACTGTAGTCACATTAGACCTACCCCTTTGTTTATGTGCACGCGTGCACACATCTACACACACATATGTATATAGAGTCCTAACTTTCTATTGTCTGAATTCCAGTTTACGCTGTGCCCTTCACTGAGAGCCTCGTTTTGCTGGTTGTGGCTGGTTTAGTGCTTGGGCTCCCAGGAGAAGATGATATGACAGTCTTTGTTTCCCACCTTCTTCCTGTGACTTCCTTTAAGGTTGGATGGCATGTAGCCTGCATTACTTGGGACAGTCCCGATTTTGGTCTTCTGTTCCAAAATAATATTAATGGCATCCCTTTTCACTCTCGTGTCCTGGTTTGCATAGCAAATTACAGTCGGCCCTCTGTATCCACGGGTTCCACATCCTCAGATTCAACCAGTCTGGATGGAAAATATTTGAAGAAGGAAATAATAAAAAACAACAATACAACAATAAAAAATAATGCGAGTAAAAGATAATACAGTGTAATAACTATTTACATAGTATTTACATTATTAGACATTGTTAGTAATCTAGAGATAAAAGGATACAGAAACATTTGCATAAGCTACATGCAACTACTATGCCGTTTTATATCAGGGACCCGAGCATCCTCATGTGCCATTTTATTTTGTTTGAGACAGAGTCTCACTCTATCGCCCAGGCTGGAGTGCAGTGGCACGATCTTGGCTCACTGCAATCTCTGCCTCCAAGGTTCAAGCGGTTCTCCCACCTCAGCCTCCTGAGTAGCTGGGATTACAGGCATGTGCACCACCATACCTGGCTAATTTTTGTATTTTTAGTAGAGATGGGTTTCACCATGTTGGCCAGGCTGGTCTCGAACTCCTGGCCTCATGTGATCCATCTGGCTCAGCCTCCCAAAGAGTTGGGATTATAGGCGTGAGCCACTGCACCTGGCCCTCAAATGCCATTTTATACCAGAGACTTGAGCATCCTCAAGATTTTGGTATCCACAGGGCAGAAGAGGGAGAGTGGCCTTAGAACCAATCCTCTGAGGATATCAAGGGATGAGTATATATGGCCGCCTTACTTAAACTACACCCAAGCAGTCTTAGCTTGTACCAACCAAAGTGACTTGGCATGCATTCTTGTTCTTGGGCTCGTAGCTAAAGGAGAAAACCAGTGGCCAGACACAAAAGGATAGTAAAGCACCTCTAGCAGGGCTGGAAATTCTACTCACAGAACTTACTTATGCAAGGAGAATGTAGTTTCTTTATTTTGTCGATTTAACTTAATATCCCTTAAGAGCTACCACCCACTGGGTAGAAGGAGGGAAAAATTAAATAAATGTCCACTCTGATTTAAGCCTTAGTCTGATCCAATAATTTAAATAGTCCCTTTAGGAAGGACTCAGTTTTTTCAGGAAAGATTCTCCATGCCTAAGATTTCTGTCTTCTGTTCCCCTCACTGGCTTCTCTCCAGAATTGCATGTCGTATGGGGGAAGGGCAGGAACTCAAACTGTGCATCCAGGACCTTGGCAATTTGCTGCCCCAGCCTGGCCCAGCACAGCCTGAAGCGAGAAAGTAGAGAAGGAAACACCTCTGACTTGGCTTGTCCTGTTGCTATGTTTTACCTTCTCCACCCCTTGGAACCCTATGTCATTCTTTCCCTTACAACGCAGCGCAAGCCCTATGTCCTATGGGGAAGGGGGATTGTCTCTTCTTATCAAATGCCCATCAATGATAGACTGGACAAAGAAAATGTGGCACTGGCTGGGCATGGTGGCTCACACCTGTAATCCAAGCACTTTGGAGGCCAAGGCGGGTAGATCACCTGAGGCTGGGAGTTCAAGACCAGCCTGACCAATACAGTGAAACCCCGTCTTTTTTAAAAAAAAGAAAAAAGAAAATGTGGCACATATACACCATGGAATACTATGGAGCCATAAAATACAATGAGTTCATGTTCTTTGTAGGGACTTGGATGAATTTGGAAACCATCATTCTCAGCAAACTGACACAAGAAAACCAAACACCCCATGTTCTCACTCATAGGCGGGTGTTGAACAATGAAAGCAAGTGGACTCAGGGGGAGGAGCATCACATACTGGGGACAGGTGGGGGGTGCTAGGGGAGGGACAGCAAAGGGTGGGAAGGGTAGGGAGGGATAACGTGGGGAGAAATGCCGCATATAGTATGCACCTGTGCAACAATCCTGCATGACCTGCACATGTACCTCAGAACCTAAAGTAAAATAAAAAACAACTCTTCAAGCTGACCCACCAGACTTAGCTCCTGAATCTTAAAGGAACTTAGCAAAGCCTCTCTCTGTTTTGTTTTCAAGCTTTTTGTTTGTGTGTTTGCTAAAGAGAACAAGTACCTATCCCCTCCCCAGGGAGGGAGAGCTCACACCTCATTGTGGAGGTCAGAGGTTGTGATGAAAATCACCTAAGAAGGAAGCCAAAGTGAACTAGTTTCATATTAGTAGTCTATTGTCCTTACACAGGTCTTGGAATGTCCTATTCGGTGAGTCACTGACTCCCTTAGCAACATGCTTCTACCCTTGCATTTTTGTTTGATTATTCACTATTCATTTATTCACCTACTTGCGATTTAGTCACTTCTATGTATTTATTTACTCATTCATCTAAGTAATTTTGAAAACCTTTGCTCACCACACCTGCTAGAAGCTGAGCATTGTGCCATGTAGAGGGATTCAAAGATGACTGAATTCAGGTGTGGTGGCGTGTGCCTGTAGTCCCAGCTACTCCAGAGGCTGAGATAGGAGAATTGCTTGAGCTCAGGAGTTCAAGCCTGGCCTGGACAACATAGTGAGACCCTATCTCTGAAAAAAATGAGGAATAATGTAGAAGCTTGGAGTCTAATGCAAGTTCAGGAATAAACCAGAGACCAGCTCTATAAGCATCTCCACCTCTAAAGTGGAAACAACTGCATAATTTATTTAGTATAAGCCGATTCACTCTAAAATGCCCTCACAGAATTCACCATGTAAAACTAATTTGCAATGGTTTGCTTTATTAAGTGGGGATAGCATCTCTTTGCTATGTTAATTTCTTCTGACTTTTTGGAGTGGGTGAGATTTGGACATATCATTTTCTGAGCATGAAGGTCCTCTGTCTTTACCATCATATGGCTGACTATGAGGTTCCTGGGCTTCTGAGCAGAAGCAGCAGAAGAACCCTGATTGGTAAGGTCTGCTGGGTTCTATGAGACAGTTTAAGCACCAAACTGGCCCAGCTGAAATTGGCTGTGGAAGGCATTGGTCACCTGTGGAAGGCACCTCCCACGTGGTAAGGAAGGACAGCATAATTTACCTTCTCCCAGCTTCTGTGATCTCTCAATGCCATCCAGCTTCAAGATAGCTGATCAAGGGGCCTGAGATAATAGAAAGCAGATTTTGAAACCAGTAGACTTGGCTTTACAGGTTCTGCTGCTTCCAAGTTAGGGCTTAGGATGGTTAGCTGCTCAGAGCCATGGTTTCCTGGTTTGTGAAATGGGTTCATAATAATTACAGCAGTAGCAGCAGCAGCAGCAGCAGCTACTGATATGGTTGTAAGGATTAATTGAGTCTCTGTAAAATGTAAGCTGTGACACAGATGTTGATTTTTATTATGATTCAGCCTCAATCTTCCAAGGAAATGGGGTCAGAAAGCTCCGCAGACCCTGAGGGACAGAGAGGAGAATTGGGGAACAGTCTAGCCTGGTCTCTTTCTTGCTTAGCATTAGGAATAAAGACGAGGTCCCAAATCCGGTTTACTCAGAGCTCTGTGGTGAAAGGACTCAGAGACATGGAAGACAAAGTCCCCAACACCGAGGAGCTTCGGAGGCCCCTGGGATACTTGGCATGAAGAAACTCTACTCCCAGTTAAGGAGTGGGGTGCGTGGGAAGAGGCCATGGCTTAAGCAAACAATAGTGAATGTTAATTTACCCTTGCTTGTGATTTTACACACTTGCAATGCTAACAACTAGAAATGTTCTTGAAGTCATGCAGTGTTTTATAACTGATGACTGTGGCACCATCTCCTGATAATCCACCCTGGGACTGATTAGGGGTGGGCAGCTGTTTGCCATCCATAGAGCCTAGGGCAGACTGGCACAAGCAGGTGTGAAATGGTGGAGGCTGGGGAAGGTGGCTGTGGAAAGCAAGGGGCACCTTCTTCCCTGGTGTTCCCAGGAGGACCAGGGCCACCAGCTTAAGCCCTGGATGGGCTCCTGTGAGGGGTGGCTGGGTGGCCCACACTGGGCATTCTGGAGACTGCTCAGTGCTGTACCCTGGGAGTCCTGAGGGAGAAGATGATGAAAAAGAGGCGGAAGGAAGATGAAAGAGTCCCATAGGGGATCTCAGCTGCTGCATCGTAGGCTTTGCAGTCTGGAGGCATTAGCTCTGTCCACCCTCTCAGAGGGCACAATGAGTCTCAAAAACAGTGACCATGCTCCCAGCAGAGATCTTTGTGTATGACACTGTGCACACACATATGCACACAAACGTATATACACACATGTTTGATGTACACACATATAAACAGAAACAGGCAGGTGCACAACTGCCAGTAGAAAGCAGAGGTAAGTGCTAATGGGGTTGAGAGTAGGGGGCAAAACAGAGGAGGGACACTCAGCAACCTGCCTAGTGGTCTTGGAGCTCATGGAGGGCTGGGAACAGGTGAGGCAACCCCATCAGTCAGACTGCTCTGTCCAGGTTCAGGCAGAGGCTGGGGTTGCAGGGACAGGACAGCGGTCATGATGGGAGAGACAGGCTGCCCCGGGCTGCAGGGCTTGGAGTAAAGGGGAGCAGGTGGTTTCAGGTAAAGGAGTGAGCAAAAGTGGAAGGGGCCTGAGCACAGGAATGTCAGGAGTGTCCCCTGCATGGGAGCAGAGAGCAAGGAGAGGCTCTGAGAAGATGTGCCCTCTTGCGAACCTGGAAGATGGAGCAGGAGGAGAGCAGGGTGATCTCCTCGCAGACTCCACATCAGAAAATCCACAGGCCATGAGGAAATCCTCAAGGGTGTGGTGTCAGCCATCATCAACACTTTGGTCATTAGCACAAGCTGAGCCCAGAATGAAGGCAGCCTCTCGGGCCGCAGATCTTCTGAGATGTCCTGGGCTGAGAGGTGCTTTGAGTTTTGAGCCTTATCTAAAGGAAAAACTCTGGATTGGCAGGTGGAGGCAGATTCTGAGACTGGAGCTGACCACTCCCACAACACCAGTTCTGCTGTGTGTGTGGGGGTATGTGTGTGTGTCTTTTGTCTGTATGTGGACACATGAGCACCCCAAGACAGAATTGTGAGTAAAATGTTAATTTCCCATCTGGCTGAACGGCCAGAGAGCCTATTTAAGGGAGGAGGCAGTGAGAGATGACAAACACACCGATCATTGAGTCCTTACTATGTGCTGGGCACTATTCTAAGCTCTTTAGATATATAAACTCATTCATCCTCACACTGTCCTGCTCCGTAAGCTACGGACACAGGTATATGCATGGGCACACAGACATACAGCAGCAGGAACCCACACTAACACACCTGGGTTCACAGTTGTATTTGTACACAGAAGTACACAGTTGCATAGACAAAAATGCAAACACACATGCAGGTGTACTTAGATAAACATGGATGCAAACCAACACACACATGTAGAGATGTACATGGACACCTTGTGTCTTCAGGGGGTAGGTATGGGATTAGGGGAAGGCATTTCGAAAAGTTGTGTGGACAGCAACAAAGAGAATGTGGCTACCTTCATAGGCTTTGCAGGCCTGAGCACATGTGATTTTTTAGATAAGGAAAAAGAGGCTCAGAGGCGTGAAGTGATTTGCCCAAGGTCACACAGCTACTAAGAGATCCGGGGCCCAGGAGGCAGTCAGGCTCCTGAAGCTCCCATCTCCCATACTCACTGAAAAGGCCATGAAGGCTGCTGAAGATTCCTAAGTGGTGTGAATCCTGCTTGTCTTGGCCTGCTCCCAGCTGGCCTCAGACAGCCCATGGGTCTGGCCAGTGATGTGATGGGACAAACTCAGCCCTGTCTGGAGGTCCAGGCATGTGGGCTAGAGACTGAGCTGAGTAGCTGCTGCCTTCTGGCACAGAAGCCCTTGCCTGGCTGTACTGAGCCTCTCTTTCTCCCCAGGGCCTGTACCCACAGCAAGCAGCGAGGATGCCCTATCAGCAGGCTTTGCACCCCCAGCTGGGATGTTACTCCAGACAGGTAAGTAGACCATCTCTCCTCCTCTGTCCTGGCTCCATGAAGGCCTTTGGGTCACAGGGTGCACCTGCTCCCTCCTCTTTGTCCAGCTGGTGACCAGCCAATATACTTCCGGCCCACCATTGGCTCCAGAGTACAGACTCACATACCAGCATGCATGTGGAAATCACAAACTGATGTCCATATGTAATAACAGTGGGCACTTAATGGAGCCCTTCCTGTGTGCTGGGCCCACCCTTAAGGACTGTGTCTACACTAACTAATTTAGGCTTCAAAATTACTCTGTGAGGTAGGTTATATAGATGAGGAAACCCAAGCACAGAGAGATTAAGTAACTTGCCCAAAGTCATAAAGTGAACATGCAAGTTATGTGTTGCTGTGGCAATATACAGTCTCCACAACTCTGGGACTTTCAATAATAAGTGTTAATTTCTTGCTCGGGTCTACGCGCTGGCTGAGCTGGGCTATGGATCAGGTTTAGATGGGTTCTACATGCCTCTTCTGGGCCTGTGCTGAAAATTCAGTACCTGTTGCTCTTTCCATGGTGGATGGCAGGAGCTCAAGAGGGTAAGCAGAAACATGTGATGCCTCTGAAATCTTCAGCTCAGATATGTCCATGGGAATTTCCACCCACCTTCCACTGGCCAGTGCAAATGACATGGCTTTGCTCAGCATCAGTGGGCCTGAGGAGTCATAGTCTTCCCATGTAGGGTTGCCAGTTAAAATCCAAGACACCCAGTTGCATTTGAATTTCAGATAAACAGGGAAAAAATGTTTAGGGTAATCATGTCCCAAATATTGCATGGGATATACTTGTGCTAAAAATATGTATTATTTATCTGAAATTTGAATTTAACTGAGTGTTCTGTATTTTTTATTTGCTAAATCTAGCAACACTGCTTTCACGGGTAGATCGGGATAAATATCTATGGGACAATAATTGAGGTTTGACCTCTGGCAGGCTGGCACTCCAATGACCGTGCTTTACATAGATGCACAAAAATACCACACAAAAATAAAGCAGCAGAAATAGAAATGCAAACACACACACACGTGCAGATAGAAACACAGGTATAGTTGTACACATGCCACCAAGCTGCAGGAGTCTGTGTCCAGGCACAGGCACACAAATAGATACAGAAGTACACTGAGGGATATTGAGTCTGGGGGCAGGGATGGGGGTGTGAGGAAAGGCGCTTAGAATGGAGAAGTAGAGGGTACCAACACTCAGCCCACCATAGCCCCAGGCTGGCCTTGCTCCTCCACACAAAAATGGACACCCCCACACTTCAACTCATAAAGCCTCTGCCTCTCCTCTCCCTCCAGGGAGCCCCACCCTCCCTGCAAACTGCACCTCTGGCCTGAAATGTGTCAGAATGTTTGGGAGGGTAGGGAAGGGCCCATAGGTGTAGGCAGCTTTGTTACCTGGGGCAGCACTGGTTTCTCTGCAGCAGGAGCCCTTGCATCCTGAGATGAAGCTGAGATGAGAGATGATCTGGGTCAGGAAACCTCAGCCCCATCGTCTCCATCCCTTGAACAGGGATATCATCCACCTGAGTCCAGAATCTTTTTAGGCAATTGTGTGTATGTGTGTGCACACGTTCATGTGTATGTATTTGAAGAAAGTAATATAAAAACATGGTAAAACAAATTTTAAAACTTGGAGGCAATCACTGTAATGGTTTTTTACATATTTTTTGGTGATATCTATTTATACAAACATTTTTATATAAGTGCAGCAATCTGGGCACACTGTTCCATTGCTTTTGTCAGGGAGGAGTGTATTTGGAGATGGCTCCAGAGCAGGCTATAAAACTGTGCTTTATAGTTTTATCAGATACATGGAATCGGGGGCACATTTTCAGTAATACTGTGTGAGTTCTAGGACCTGCCTCCTCCGCTTCGATCCCCTCCCAGGGCCAGGCACTTCCTCCCCCATGAGGGAGGACAGGGGTACGTTCTGCCATGCTGACCCACATTGTCCTGGGAGGTGCTCTTGGTGTGTTCTGACCTTTAGCTCATCACCTTGGGGTTTGGTGCCTGTGCCCAGCATCACCAGGTGCCACATCTCTACTGGAGAACACTGGGGAGGACCGAGAGGGAGGACTCAGGTTTCCAGAGAGGACATAGCAGAGAGAGGCTGGTGCAAAACAAGATATGGGTTCTGGGCTTACCCGCTGAGGTTCTGACCACAGCTCAGATGCTGGAAACACTGAGAAAGTTGCTTCACTTTTCTGAACCTGAGATTTCCTGTCTCCGAACTGGAAATCATAATGGTCCTACCTCACAGGGCTTTCTGGAGTTTTAATGACAGCATCCATGTGAAGGGCTGGGCACATTCCAAGCACTCAATGAGTGCTAGCCTTTGTGGATTTTTTTTTTTTTAGATAAGGGCTTGTGGGGTGAGAGAGGGCTGTCAGAGTGCCTGAACCCTGAGCACTTGGACCCCAGACTTGTATTAAAATGGAAATCCAGAAATTTCTTCAAGTTCTGACTACTCCCCTCAGCACACAAGAGGATAGATGTCAGCTTTGTATGAGAAAAGGTTTTCTGATATTTGGAGCTGTCGGTAGTGGAGTTCAGTGCTCATAAGGTAACAAGCTCCCCATCTTTTAGGTATTCAAGCAGACACCTTAGTGGTCTTTTCTTTCCTCCTTCCTTCCTTCCATCTCTCTTCACTTTACTCTCTCTCCGTTTCTTGCATTTATTCATTTAACATATGTTTGTTAAGCAGCAACTGTGAGCCAGGTGCTGTCTTAGGGCTGGGGAGATAGCAGTCAACGAGATGGATGAGGTCTCTGCCATGTCGGAGCAAGATGGTGGGAACCCCAGTTCTCGGTGGGAGTTTGTTCCGGATAGTCTGGGAAACCCCACTGAATTTTTGTATTTCCCTAGAGTTTGTGTTCAACCCCATTGCCCTTTTTTGCCCTTCCTCCTAGACTCACATTGTCCACTGTGGCAGCCATCACCTATGTGTGGCTATTTAAATTTAAACTAGCTAAAATTAAGTATAATTCAAAACTCAGGTCTTCATGCACATGAGCCACATTTCAAATGCTCAACTGTTGTATGTGGCTGGCAGCTTCCACATTGCATGGCACAGAAGTAGGACATTCCTGCCGTCGCAGAACTTCTGGGCAGGGCTGTCTGGGACTTGGAGTCTGTTGAAAGGGTCTCAGGAGAGATAGAAGCCAGAGCTGTGTAAATTGCACCAGCTTTTTGGGGATAATGAAAGCCTTAAAAATAAACAAGGGGCTTTTGAGATGGTTATTGACAGAGGGAAAAGCTAGGAAAACAGGGAAGAGAATGGAAATAACATTGATTTGTTATTTACTATATGCCTGTCTCTTTACTTGTATCACCTGACCCCATCCCCACTAACAACCTAGATAGTGTTTTCCCATTTTGCAGATGGGGAAACTGAGGCTCAGATAAATTAGTTAACTTGCTGGGCTCACTATCGAAGTTGAGCCCTAGGCTTTCTCCATTTCAGCATGTTGCCTTCTGCATACCCAACAGGGACTGAGGGGTACAGAGGCTGAGGCTGGGGGCTGGTGGCTGGGGTTAGAGTTGGGCTGGGGAATGGTGACCTCACCTCTCTCTTCTCTCTGACCTGCAGGTGATGCCATACAACCCACAGCAGATGGGACAGCAGATCTTCCGCTCTTCCTACACCCCACTAACAAGCTACACCCCTTTTGTCCAGCCCAATTATCCCTACCATCAGAGGACACCTCCAAAGATGTCTGCCAACCCCCGAGACCCTTCCCCCATGGCAGGAGATGGACCCCAGTACCTCTTTCCCCAAGCATATGGGTGAGTCAGCCCTCACTGGAAGCCTAAGGGTATCCAGAAAGCTGGTGGGAGCGAAAGCAAGTGGGGTGGGCTTACTGGTGCTTTCTCGGCATCTGTGTCCCATGGCTGTGGGGTGGGATGGGCCCTGTACCTATGGCCAGTAGTTATGTGGGTCCTGGAGGAACTTGGTGCAGAGATGAACAGGGTCTGGGGCCTGGTGGGCCCCTTTCATAGGTGCATTTCAGGGCTGGTTGCAGAAATGCAACTGCACAGTCTATAATCTATGGATACCTACTCAACGGGCAGGACAGGTGGTACAATGATGCATTTGCCTTTACCCATGTACTTGATTACAACAGGACATGGCCAGCTAATCTCCTTAGAGCTCTCACCTCCTACTGTCGGCCCCCTGAGCTCCATGCCCCACTAATCTCCTGAACATCCCATTGACTTCATGACGGGCTCTGCTGAAGAGCCTTCGACTGCTTATCAGGGCTGCCCACACTTTTCCACCAAGTTCCCAGACTGCAGAGGCAAGGAGCTTCTATTTCCTGGGATGGTCTGAGAGCTTAACAGCAAACAGCCAGCACGAATCCAACATTATGCCTGAAAATTCTGCTTAAATTGTGCATGCTGTTGAATCATAAATTTGTGTTTGTTTTAATATAACAATATATAGCCACTCATTCTCACCCACAAAACCTTCCACTAATACGGATGCTCCAACATCCATATTATTATGGTGCCATGTCATTCCTGGGAATCCCAGTCTCACCCCGGAGAATGGGTGACCTGGTTTGAAAAACTCACCTTATAGGATTAAGGCCCAACTTCCCAGTGATTCCCGTCCTTCTACCTCCCCGTCACAGAACCTTTAGTGCAGTGCCGACCCATGTCCCCAAACTCTCATCCTTTCAATCAGTGTTTTCTCCAAATAGCTTGTTAAAAGGGATAAATGCTAGAAAGTGGTTTCAGTAGTCAGATCTGTTTGGGAAAAGCTGTGGGAAACAGAGATAAACAGATTTCTTAACTGTTGGAATTCTCAGATCATTTAATTTCCTAGGGTGCGTGAAGAATGTTCAAGGAGGTGGTTGATATTATTATTTAAACATGAAATCCACACCCTTAAAAAAAAGTTTCTTTCCCTCCTTCCTTTCTTCCCTCCCTCCCTCCCTCCTTCCTTCCTTTCCTCCTTCCCTCTTTCTTTCTTTCCTCTCGCTCTTCTTCCCTTCCTCTCTCTCTCTTCCTTTTTCTTGCAGAGTATGTCATGGTGTGTTCCACCTAACACACCCTGGGAAACGCTATGTTAACACATGTAGTTAATTTGAATTTAGCCTGTGGGGGACCCATAGATGAATAGGGCATACTTCTTCCCTTCAGAGAACTGAGAGCAGATGAAATGCGGGCACAACAATGTTAGTGCCTTGGCAAAGTGAAAACCATCAAAGTGACCGAAGAGGACAGAGGCAGGATCCCTGCAGGAGTGGAGGGAGGTTCCAGCGAGCTGAGCCAGGAGGAGGGCATTCCAGGCAGGAACAGCAAGGCCCTCAGATGGGAAGGCGTGCAGCAAGCTGGAGGCCTGGGAAATAAAGGTGTCTGGCTAAAGCATTAGATTTGTCTCTGAAAAAGGTGGAAAATAGGATTGTAAAAGGGAGGTTGGGACTGGATTATGAAAGGCTTCGGACTGCTAGGCCTGGGGATCCAGGGAAGATTTATGCACATCAGAGTGAAGTGATGGGCTGGCAGGAAGAGAAAGAGGAAGCAAGATAGGGTGTGGCCTGGAGGTGACTCTAGGGATCTGTGGGAGAGATTATCATCCCCTGGAGGTGAGAATAGAGACCCAGAGGAGCCCCCTGCAGGTTGGCCAACTTCTACATTCTATGCTGTGACTCTGGGCTCTGGAAAGGTAGACTTGCTGCAGGGATACCTCTGGCTGTCTCTGGGAGGGAGGGTGGTCTCAATGTCTCCTCAGCCAGCTTTTGGGAAGCACTGATTGGGAGCTTGGAGACCAGAGGGTTGAGACCTGGTCTCTACAGGTCTGCAGAGGAGCAGAGGTTGGAGGAGTGGGAAGGCAGCCTGAGGAAGGAGCAGCCTGAGAGGTGGGAGGCAGCCTGGGGAGAGCCAGAGACAGTGGAGGCAAAGAGGAGGGTGAGGAGGAGGAGCAGGATGGATTGGTACTCTGAGAGACTGGGGAGACCAGTAAGTCAGGGTGGAATGCAGGGTATCCCTGTAATAACATCATTATGGTTTCTGAATAATCTTCCAATATGATTTCTGAAACAGAGAAACAGAGATTGGGTTACCAATCTCATAGATTGCTTATGAGGCACCCGCATTGTGTCAGGTCCTGGGCACTGGATATGAAATAGGTGAAGTCTTTGCTCTCTTGGAAGTTATTTTAGTGAGAATGGAGTGAAACAACCCAGCCTAACTTGCCCGTGGACACTCAGTGAGCAACAGACACAGTGAGCTGCTGAGGCACTACAAATGAATGCCGTGGCCTGTTTCCATTGTTCCCCCCCGCCCTTTTTGGTTTCTTCAGTTCATAGGAGGGTACCGTGAACGTGAGTCTCTTCTATAATATTCATCTGCCCAGCTGAAAAGTGATTGAGAATCCCAGGATTAGATTAAATCTAGCCATTTGCTCTCCTGTAATTTGTATTGAGTTCTGTTCCCATTCATTCAAAATATCTGAGCAGATGGATGAAGAAATTACAGTAGGATTCCAGAAGTGTGAGTAAATGATTCCATCTGGAGAGGTCAGGGAAGCCTTCACAGAGGAGATGGCTTTTGAACTCTATTTTGAAGTATGGATAGGAGTGTGCCAGGGAGAAATGAAAGGCACATGCTCTTAGAGGGTGAGGCTCACGTCTTAACTCTTCCTTCCCTGAGGGTCCAGCAAAGCCCTAGGCACTCAGTGGTGTCTCAAGGTTTACTTTTCAGTCAGGGTTGGAGGACGTGATTTAGCTTCGTGCTGGTAAGGGGAGGAGGGACTCTGGGATTGTCCAGACTCGAAAACCTAATGCTGGACCTGCCCCTAAGTTCTCTGATGTTGTAGATTTCCTGAGGGACATGTCTGGTCCTCTAAGGCAGGTAGAGTGGTCACCGGAATACAGGTAAGATGTTTAGATCCAGAGAGGGTCCCTGTTCTGTGGGTCTTGGGCAGAAAGAGAGGGTAGGCTCCCTTGAAACAATCTTTACAGGCTCCAGGGGCTTCCTGATCTAAGTGAACACAAGGAGACGCTCTTGATTGTCCTCTAATTGTATTATTTTAGTGTTTCACTTTCCCAGAGCCAAAGCGTTTTATGCCAAAACTTTTTTCTTATGCCAAAGCCTTTACTCTCCAAGCCTGTTGTGGTCTTCACTGTTTCTGACAACCATAAAGTTAATATATTATTTTTTTTAATCTTTCCGATAACATTAGGAATCTCATCATGGTGTTCACCCTCCCTCTCTTCCAGGTTTGGCTCAACATCTGGAGGTCCCGTGATGCACAGCCCCTATTTTTCCTCCAGTGGGAATGGCGTAAACTTTTAGATCGCCTTCTCTTCTCCCTTCTCCTCCCTTAGCCCTTGGATCAGGACTAAGGGCTCTGAATTTCTGGGTTCTGCAAAAGCCTAGTATGAAGTTTGGAAAGGCAAGGTTTCGACCAGGTCACAGACAGAAAACAGCAAGACCAGATTCATCTATTGGCCAACACCGACACACAAATAGCCCCTCTCGCACCCGGCACAAGCTACACACACACGCGCGCGCACACACACACACACACACACACTCCTCATATTCATACTTGCTTGCTCAACCACTTATGCATCTGTATTTAGCTAACATGAGTGATTTTTGTTTTTGTTGTTGTTGGTAAAATAGAAGTAAGACACTTAATTTTAGAAAGTTTGTATTTTATGATAAAACTATGAGCTGCTTGAAATGGAGTGCGCCTGTTTATTTTTGTGGTGTTCTGCGTAATCTTTACTGCTCATGTTCCCCACGAGACTCAGCGTTTACTCAGGACATGAAAGGAGACCACAGGCTGGAGTCCTCGGAGTGCTGCTATCTAAATATGGAACTCCAGGGATCATAAGCGAGAGGGCTTCTCTCTTTTCTCCAGTGATCCACTCATTTCTCAACGTCCCAGTGTATGCATCTCAGGAATGGACATCATAAAGAGAATGCATTCTGTCCCATCCCAAGTGGAAGTTTTCCATAAAAAGTCTCTTTTGGACAAATGGTTGGAAAATTTAGCCTGGAAAACAATTTCAAAACTAACACCAAATGTCACAGACTATATCCAATGATCGTACATCCGTACCGAGATAGAGGTCAATCTCGAAACTGCACCTAATGGCGGCATCCCTGGACCTATGTTGTTCAACTCTTACCAATGGCTTGAATAAGGACATTGAGAGCACCTGGATTACATTTATGGAGGGACATGAGTCTGGGAAGAAGAGACAGCCTGGATCTGTGACAGCACACATTCTTTAACTCTCCTATTGTGCACCCTTGGCAGACATCGCTAATCAGCTATGTCATTCTATTCCCCCGAGCTTGGACAAAGCCGCTGAGTCATTCTCCCTGTGGTGCTCCAGACAGCTGTCACTGATCAGAGTTAGTCTGTGAAATGAAACCCATGGGCCATGTGTAAACAGGAATTAATGTAAGGATCCGCTTTGGTCTAAAAAAAAAAAAAATGAACTGTGCACATCCAGGTTGGACCAGCATTCTCAGTTCTGACCTGCTCTATTACCAACCCTGTTATTTACCTGAAAGTGAAAACTCACCTTGGCTGAGGCCAGTGAGAGCTGATCTGGGGAACATTAGTAGTCCTAATCCAGATAGCAATGAGAGGCTGGGGGTCTGGAAGTCACCGGTGTCTCAGGATGGGCTTAAGTCCAGTGGCCACAGGATCATTTCTTTTGCTCTCGCAATGTAACCCCATTGGCCTCACCAGTCTTTCTTTCTGGGTCCTTGGAAACCAATTTCTCTCCCAAGTTCCCTCAGGATGTATGCCTTCTTAACTTTCTTCATGGTCTGATTCTAGGATTCCCTGGGAGTTCTTCAACTCCCTATCCCAATGTTGGACCCCTACTTTGGGCATTTCTTGTTTCTTCTTGCTAGCCTTGGTTAACAGTCTGTCCCAAAGTTCTTTCTTAAATTATACTTCCAGTTATTGATCCAGGTTAGACTATAGTTTGCCACCCTCCCTTGATCTCAGCATGTTGGAAAGCAGGAAACAGTAAGGGAAAGAAAGAACATGGGTTTGCCTTTGGCCAGACTTAGCTTCTTAGCTACTTTCCAACTATAACTTGGGGCAGAAAATTTAACTTCTCTGAACTTCATTTCCATGAATGGCCATGTTAAGAGTTGTGAGGACTAAAAGATAATGCAGACTTAATGTAAACTTTGTCCGTTTAACATAAACTTGCAGCTTTAAGATGGCAGAATAAAGAAGTTTCTGTTCCTCTTCTCTTGAAACTTACCCCCAAGTAACAAGGAGAACAAGTGAACCTGTACAAACTCTGTCCTCAATGAAACTAGGAGAAGTTGGCAATCCCTTCCCATATACAAAGGAACAAACGGGATAGAGGAAAGGGAATTCCCTTATCAGAACAGGGAAGATCCCATGGCAATGCTTGCCAAAGGAAATATCAACAAGAAGCTAGTCATTTCTCCTGCAGAGCCTGATGGTCCTAGGAACTGGAGGTGCCAGGTGCTAGACTCTATGGAAGGTGGAGCTGGGAAGAGGTGAAAGCAACCTGGCCCCACAAAGCCAAAGGCCATGGCCAGTTCTGTAGGAGACAGGAGGCATTTTCTCTAGAGAAATGTACAGACCATGCATAAGGGCTGTGGAGATGAGGACCCAGGTGGAAAATGGGGATCAAGTAAAATACACATACACTCCTCAATGCCAGCAGTTAGATTTAACCAAGAAGCAGAGGATTTTTCTGGAGAAACTGAATTCTCCCAAGGCATTTGGAGGTACCAGTGAAAATTATCCTATGATTAATGCCCTTTTACAAAGAGCTTCCAATGAACTTTTTAGAACAGTCTCCACAAGAAGGAAATAGATCAAAGCAAAGGTAAGAAGGAACTAAGGAAAGAGAGACAGACCATAATATTCTAAGGGAGATAAGGTAGTACATTTTAACAAGGACGATGTGCCATATGCTTATTTTTTAAAATCAGAAGGAAGAAATGTTTCTGGAAATTAAAACGGTGATAGTTGATGTAATTTTTTAAATGAAAGGGCTGGATCTTTCATCAGAGAGATCTCATGAAAGGAGAATGAAAAAAGACATAAGGGTAGGTTATAAGAGATAAAAGATAAGCAAATGAGAGGATCAGTCCAGGAGACCCGATATCTGGCTAAGGGACATTTTAGGCATCAGAATGAAAATTGAGGGGATGGAAATATTGATGAAAAAAAAAAAAAGAAAAGAAAATCCCCAGATTGAAAGTTCCAAACGAGTGCTCAGCAAAGTGTAAGATTGACCTCGAAGAATATCCCTATGAAATTTCAAAAGAGCAGGGATAAAGACAAGATTCTAAAATTTTCCAAAAATCCAACTTACACACAGATGACCAAGAACCAAATGGCATCAGAGTTCTCAACAGTAACACTGGCACCTAGAACACCCGAAACAAAGACAACAGAACTCAAGTGGAAATAATTTTTGACTGAGAATCCTAAATCCAAACTCTGCCTTGTGAAGATCAAATAAGATGTTTTCAGATATGCGAAGTCTCAAAAAATCTACCTCCCTCAACATTTTTCAAGAAGCTAAGGGAAGGTGTGCCCCGCTAACACAAGTGGTGAAACAAAGAAAGAAGATGTGGAATCCAGGAATCAGGTATTCAATGTGAGAGGGAGGCTAAGGAGATTCCTGGGGTGATGGGAAAGGATCATCTTCACTCAAGAGCCATGAAGCAGAGCTCTGAGAGCCACCACCACCAGTCCAGATTGGAGTAGGAAGTTGGTGAACTCCAGAAGAGAGGCATGTCAGTGGGGGTTGGGGAAGGGCTGGAAAAAATGATAGATTATTCTGACAGTTGATTCTGTGGAAAATTGCATTAAGAGTTTCTTTATAGCAGTTGGTGGGGGTGGGAAGATATAACTATAAATTCAAATTTTAAAAAGAATAATTGTTATTAACTCAGCAGTGAACAATATTTACCTGGTCACCACAATAAAAAGTTCAAATACAGTTTTAACCAAAAAAAAAAAGGTGATAAATTATAACTATGGTGGGAGGAGGAAGGTGGAGAGAGGGTGTGAATAGAGCTAAAATCCTCATTTATCATAATAGGAAGGCAGGAGGTAATATCTAAAATGGATGATACCAGGGATAGTGGAATTCATATAATTATCTAGAAATCTGGAGATAAACACCAAGATAAAGAGCCAAGAGAGTTTGGGGGATTGCCTAAGAGAAGCAAGATGGATTTGTGGGAGATGATGGTGCAGGGATCACTGCCTTGTTTATGAGCCTTTTAGCACGATTTGACTTTTAAACCATGTATATGCATTACTTTAATAAAAATAAGCATTTATCTAAAAGAGAGAAATTGCGTGTGTAACACTAGTATGATGCTTGGCACATGGTAGGTACCAAAAATGCTCGATGAATCGTATCAAGCTGCCTTCTGACACAGCTAGAGCCCACTGCCCTAGCTCTCATCCCAGGGTGTTTGAGAATCAGATTCTCAGAAGTCCTTAGAAATTGCTCTCTCAAGAAATTCTTGTGGAGAAAATTTAGTTAAAGGAGGGCCTAGAGCCAATGGCCAATGTGTTTCCAACACATTACACCCTGACTCTGTTTACTTCTCAGGGAATTCCAGAAACAGTTGAGGAATAATGGGAACAGGGACCCTGAGTGCTTTTCCTGGTTCAGCAGCATGAAGTCTGGATGGGACTGAAAGCTCCCAGCTTTTCTCTAGGTTCCTTCCAACCCACCTTCCCCCACCCAATTTATTCAGCACATAGTCACTGAAAGTGTATTCTTAGGGATATGGCAATGGGCAAGACAGACACAGTACCTGCCCTATGAATGTTTAAGCATAGATATTCGATCATAGTTACAGTGAAAAGTGATGAGGTTACTGAAGGCACATGCTGGGAGCTATGAGAGTACATATCAGGATGTCAGGGTCACCCAACCCAGTTCAGAGGGTCAGACAAGTGATGACTGCTCCTGGTCCTTGCAGTGAATTCTCATGTGACCTGTTTTTAAGTTGCAAGCCTCTAGTTTTCTTCCTGGACACACTCTATTTGTAAATCTGTTTTTCTTTCTTTCTTTCTTTCTTTTTCTGAGGGAGTCTCGCTCTGTCCCCCAGGCTGGAGTGCAGTGGCATGATCTTGGCTCACTGCAGTCCTGCCTCCCGGGTTCAAGTAATTCTCCTGCCTCAGCCTCCCGAGTACCTGGGGCTACAGTTGCATACCATGATACCTGGTTAATTTTTGTATTTTTAGTAGAGACAGAGTTTCACCATATTGATCAGACTGGTCTCGAACTCCTGACCTCAGGTGATCCACTGCCTTGGCCTCCTAAAGTGCTGGGATTACAGGTGTAAGCCACCGTATCCAGCCTATTTGTGAACTGTAACTACGTAAGTAGTCCTTATGTAGTTTAAGCAAGTCGAGGCATAGCATTTTGGAGGGGGGTGGTTCTACAAATACTTCATAAAATAATACCAGCTACTAATCATCAAGCACTTACAACGGAACAGGCACAGTGCTATATACATCACCTTTATTATCTAACATTTGAAATAACCCTGTGAGATATATATCTATTACAGATGCATAAACTAAGGTTCACGGTGAGTAAGTATCTTGTTTCAGGTCACGTGGTGAGCCAACATTTTTACCCACTTCTCCTGGTGCTTCCCTGTTTCTTGTAACAGCCCACAGTGAATGAACTTTGTTGG